GGCTTCCTGCCCCAAACCGCAGCAAGAGCGACCAAAAAGCAAAAGAAACAGACCAAAAATAAGGTAAAATTAAATTAAAAAGGCTTTTGCGAGGCCATGTTGACATAACGTGTAGTTACATTCACGAGATACTGGAAAAAAGCAAAAATTCACCGAAAGTTTACGAGCAGGCCCCTAATATCATCGGCTATTATACAGAAATTAAGTAAATCGTCACGACATTAAAAACATGTCTGTTTATTCAAGGGTGCTCTTGTGTTTCTCCGTCCTGAGCTGTCGGGCGGCAGAGGGGCCTGTTTCTAGCGCCATGCAGCGCAGGATTGTACGTATTTTAACGCCGGATGGAGAAAAGGGAGCAGCCCCAAGTGCCCTGCAGGACGGGATCGGCTGCCAGCGCTGCGGGTGTTTGCTGCACGTGCAGCGCGGGCTGGTTGCTCTTCCTGAAGCGCTGCTAGCTAGGGCTTAAGGCACGCCAAGGACAGTGGTCCCAGCACGGTGATTCTCTGTTCAGGATGGTTTTTAGTCTCCTACCAGATACCCAAGCTTCCTCCATACTTAGAAATCCTCTTCGTGGGTCTCCCACCTTCCCTCCCATCTCCCCAGGATCCTCTCTATGCTCTCGGCCGGCTCTCTCCGTCAGGGCACTAACTCCACTCTCAGGATCTCCAGTTTAAGTGTCTTCCCCACGTTTTTCGCTTTCCTTAACCAGCAAATCTGCCAGGGAGCAGCAGAGATGCGGAGGCCCCAGCAGGGAAGAGGAGCAGGAGCCAAGCAAAAACAGGGCCTGTGAGTAGGTTGGTCAGAGGCACCACCGCTATAGGTGCCCTTTCGGGCAGATTCTGGTCTCTGCCCAGCATGGAGTGAGTGAAGCATGTGGGAGGAGACACACAGTGATGGGGAGAATGGGTGAATGTGCCCTGAGTTGATAGCCGGCATAAACAGCCATGACAAAAGGAACTCTCATCAGCTCTGCCAGGAGCATGTCAGTATCTCCTGACAAGAGTTATTTTCTTCCTCTCTTTCAATACACTGAGCAGGAAACAATTTCCTCATCCCACAAGAATTTCAGCAGTCAGAGGGTTGTCTCGGATAATGATAGACGATAATAATAACAAAAAAGGACACAAACAATAATATATATATGAAACACAGCAGAACTTGCAGATCTCAAGAACCCTCCCAAAGACATTTCTGCCATCCAAAATCCACTCCTCCAGGTGTTTTATGGGAAAGAAAAGAAAAAGGAAAAGAGGAAAAACCAGGCGGTGGTTCGAGCCCCCCATGTCAGCGAGCCCGCGCGCTCCGCCCGCAGCGCCGCTTGCCGAGGGGCAGCGCGGTCCCCGCCGCCTCCCCGGGGGCAGCCGGGGGGCTTC